AGAATCTAGATATCTCTATTTGGTCCTCTCAATCCCCAGGCATAGTATAAGGAGTCTTCCTCCAAATAATTCATTTCTACTTACATGTAACATCTATTAATCTGTTCACTTTATCCAAAAAACATATAATGATTTCTAATGGTACTAAGGAAACTTGATAACAATAATTCAAGCTTCCAATGCCAAGAAGGATTGGATTTTTTCCCCATTTATGCTTCTTTCTACTTTCCAGCTCCAGAAGAGTTTCCTTTATGTGTGTGAGGTCGGGAGTTGGTGGGGGAGGGGGTGTAACTAATTCAGAATTGAAATGCTAGAGCAGAAGAGGTAAAAAGTAAAAGAAGAAGTTCTATTGTGATTAAAAACACATAATTCTAATAAACAGCTGAATTCTGGCTCAACTTTCCTACTCATCAAATGATAATGGGTTCTAGGCTCTTTACATTCACAATTCCTTACTCTTTGAGCAAAGACCTGGGGATTACATTTGTTGTATTCAGTCATATATTCCTGCTAGAACTGAAGCTACTACTATATGTCAAATCAAAGTAGTTCTTTGAAATAATATTACCAAAAGTGCTACAATAGAAAAAAACTAAATTCAACACATCATTAAGTTCTGCTTCTGCTGCTTATTTGCCGTGATCTCAGTTTCCTCAATCTATAAAATGAAAATGACAACAGCTAATTTATATCCTTATCCTTCTTGTTCAGAAAGAGCCTGTTATGTCTCACTTTCACAACTTTCGTAACAAACCTGTTCTTTTCTCCTCTGACATCCTTCTACCTTGTTATTTAGTCTCAGAGTTGCTTTATTCAATACAGTAGTCACTATATACATAGTCTAATGATTACTTGAAATGTGACTAGTTGGAACAGATAGGTGTGGAAGTGTAACACATAAACAGGATTTCAAGGACTAAGTGTGAAAAAGGACATAAAACATCTCCATATTTTATCCTGATAATATGCTAAGATAATGCTTTAGGTATATTCACTTAAGTAAAATACATAACAACATTGATCTCATCTCTTTAAAAACATTTAATATGGCAACTAGAAAATTTTAATTACATATGTGACTCATATTACATTTCTAAACTCTCTGGTCTTAAGAGTTTTGACTTTCCAACTGATTATAATTTCCTTAGGAATAGGGATAAAATTTTAAACTTTACTTTTTTAACCCCTAGTCTCTAGCAAAACACTTTTTACATAGTAGGTGCTTATAAATGATGGTCCAAACTGTGCTTCCTCTTGACTTGTTAGTTTTCAAAATTATGCCATAACAAGAAGTCTATTTCTAATATTAGCCTACATTTATGGACATGGAGCTAATCAAAGGACTCCACAGATATAGTTTCCTGGTTTAAAAAATTTGTTAACCAGTTTTTTTCAAAATTATATTAATACCTTGCTCATTTTCCCCTTTAATATTATTTTTCCATGTTCTTTTATTGTACCAATAATTATACCAGTCAGTTATCATGTTAACCTGTATGCTGTGTTTGGTATTTTTCAAATCTAGGAACAAATGACTATGCTAAGATTCAAGAGTGGCTAGAAGGCAATTTCTTAGGGTTTTATACAAGAGTCTCCACTATAAGTAGCTTGTTTCAATTCCATTTTTATTCACTAAATGTACGTATTGGTTTTTGATTTTATGCATAAAGTTATTTTTAAATAAAGCACTTTTAGTTAAATTGGACTGTGGAAAGTTTACAATTGCTTTACGAAAAAATATAAGCCATGAAACAAAATTTTATTCTTCTTACAGAGCAGATATCCCTAATTCACAGTCTATCAATTCTTAGTAACCAGTTATTCCAAAAGTACTTTAAAATTATTCTTTTTAGTTCAAGGGTTTAGGAAGGTCCAACTCTAGTCAAGGCAATGGTTAAATATAAATAGTAAATATAAGTCTCTATCCTCAAGGAAAGACAAAATGAAATCAAAATTGAAATTGCCAAAACTTACTGATGAGTGGAAAACAATTATGTAATAAAGAAAATGGAGCTGGTGGGAATGAGTTTTATTTTAGAGATACAATTATTCCAAAATAAATGTTATTAGGAACTAAAACACTAGCATTTAGCAGACCCTTTCTTCATAGATCTTGAAGTAAACTTTAAATTTTCTACCCATAAAATACTAGTCTACTAGGGTAGAACAGATGAGCATAAGTGATCTAATAAGTTTTCTTTCATAGCCTTAGAAGTGAGTATAAATTTTGATCCAATACATTAACTTATTCAATATAAAAACATTGAGTACCTTCCAAATTTTAAATTAGTTTATTAGTGATTCACTGTATTAGTACAATCTTTTTTAAAAATATGCAATAAAAACTATACATCCATAATACAATAAAGTATAATCCTTTTTTAAAAAACTTTATTTTGAAATAATTATATATTCATAAAGAGGTTACAAAGGGAACATACAAGGGAATTCCATGCATCCTTTCCCCAATCTCTTGCTTTCAGTGTTTTTTTGCTTGTTTTTGTAGATAAGGGCTAACTATGTAGTCCAGGGTCACCTCAAATTCCTAGGTTCAAGTAATCCTCCTGCCTCGGCCTCCCAAGTACTGAGTACCTGGGACTACAAGCATGTGCCACCACACCCAACAAGCTCTTCCATCTTATATAACTTTAGTATCTTTTCATGATATATTGGAAGTAAAAAGAAAGACATATGATAGTTATATAAAATTTTCTCATGAAAACATTTCCAAAGTTTATATTTTCATGGAAAAGGGGGAAATGTGACTTAAGGGTCTTTCTGAGCTTACAGGTCTTACATAAAAAAGGAGAATTTAAAAATACAAAAATTCTGATGGTTGGTCCCATAACAAAATTTGGCACTCTGCCTTCTAAATTATGTCTGAGGGACATACACCTTTGCAAGAAACAAAAAAACTTTTCCAGAAACAGAAGTTATTTAAAGATTTGACTCCATAATATAAGTCACAGTTATCCTATAATTATATATGTATCCTATGAATACATTTAACAAAGAAAACAGGCAGCTATTTATTTACTCCCTCTACTACTCTCTTCCAGCAAGTTATTCATTCCTTTGTAATTGTATAATTAACACAAGGCTTTGTATATTGCCTCTGTAAATTGCCTTTTAGACACATAATAGTCACATGAACAAAGCAAAGATCTCTCTCTCACACATTGTATACTAGACTAATTATACATAAATATATTTATATAAATAAATAAATAAGGAATGTAGAGGTTAATATTTCTAGAGAGCAAATAATTTTTTATTATTACCCAAATGCCTATAACTCATTAGATTTGGATATGTATCTATTGGATTTTTTTTTTTTAAGTCCAGGGACTGGGCAATATTAATTCAGTGGTAAAGTACTGCATGCCTAGAATGCACAAGGCCTTGTATTTAATCCTAAAACTGCAAATTAAAACACAACAAAAAAAGAAACAAAGACTAAAATTTAATACTTTCAACCTGGTGCCTCTCAATTCTTGCTTCTGGGTTTCCTTCCTTCATAGTATCCATTTTGGCAGAATGAATGACAGTTAATTTTCCTAATAGTGCCTTGTTTGGGAATGTTTTTATTTACCAAAACCAAAACCAAAAGCAACTTATATGTAGTACAGACAGAGAATCTATTTCATTTATTTTCATTGATTAAATTGTGTAATTTAATAATGGTTTTTAAAAACCATATAATAATCATACAGTTAAATGTACTGTGTAGCATAAGAGTACTAGAGAGCATCTATGTGTCTTTCCCAATGGCAGAACCAGGAGTAGTAAAAACAAAATGCTTCTAGACCACTAGAAATGCCAGCAAAAGGAGGAACAGTAAGTCTATTTTCTTGCGTTCCATGTGACAATTTCTGGAGTCCTAAAATAAAGAAAATTTTTCCTTTTTTTAAAATTTAAATTACATTTTATCCAGTATCCTGCAGTCAGTCCCATTAAGTAAGATACATCTATACACTCAACCAGATAATAAACATTTGAGCTTTCCATCCCTCAGCTCAATACTCACTTGAACTTAACAACTTTCATAGCAGTAACTTAGAATTTAAGTAGCAAGTCACTCAAAACCAAAAAGACATTTAAGTCTATGCAGACAAGTACCTATTTCCAAATAGTCTAGAGGCAAGGTAAGAATCTTTCATTGAATCCTTCAGAAATGGCGCCCATAAAAACAAAAGTTGTCAAAACAATAATCTAGCAGGAAGCACTCCCTTTATTCTATTTAAAAATGACTTAAGTTTATTTTTCAACTCAACTTTCTTTTTAAAAAATGAAAATCCTAAACTTAAATGGATAGCATAATATATGGATGTATTATTAGTTAGGATTAAAATATAAAGCTTATGGCTGGGGTTACAGCTCAGAGATAGAATGCTTGCCTACTATGTGAGGCCATGGGTTTATATCCCCAATATCTCAAGGTGAAAAAAAGATTAAAATTTAAAACCAAATTACTTTCCCATATATATATATATATATATATATATATAAAATCTTAACATTAAAACAACCTATTATCTTCTTTTTGGGGAAGAGTGAAAGTACTAAAGATTGAGTCCAAGGACACTTTACCAGTGAGCTATATTCCCAGCCCTTTTAAAAATTTTTATTTGGATACAGGGTCTCATTAAGTTGCCCAGGCTGGCCTTGAACTTGTGATCCTCCTGCTTCAGCCTACTGAGTAGCTGGGATTACAGGCATGTGCCACCACACCCATCTATCTTGAAGCTTGATGCTAACAATCAGTAAATGAAAAAGACAAAAAATAATTCTTAAAAAACACAGCATTTTGGCTCAAAAGTTATTAGCAGAAGTGATCTTAGCTAAAGAAATTTTGGCCCTTAAGCTTCTGATATTTCAGCTAAAAATACAAAAAGACAAAAAATATAAATACAGATTAAGCAATGGTTGGTTGTACTAAAATGATTATATAAAATATTTTCCCCTTCTCAATCCAAAAATACCTTGACTTAAATACTTACTCTGAGCCTGCAGCCATTTCCAAGTATGACGTTTCTGCTGTATCAACCCCCAATGGGATCACTATGCTCATGACGTTCGCCTCTGGTAAATTCGATTACTATGGAGTCCTATGCATTGGTATCCAAAACACTGGGGCATGCCAGCCACAGTGCTCATTGCAAACATCTAAGTGCATCCACAAACCCTGTTTAAAAGAAATGGGAACAAAACAGTTAAGAACTATCTTAACTAGCTACAATCACACTGTATAATAATAGTAAATAACAGGTAAAGAAAGCATTCTTTATTAAGATCTCAAATGGCAATATGCTCATTGAAGTATCTATTTCATTTATTTTTCTGGAATTAAGTTGTGTAATCATGATCAAAATAAAAGCTTCTGGGGGTATATTTCAGTGGCAGGGCCCATGTTTAACATGTGCAAGGTTCCCAAAACAACAACAAAAGAAAACAAGTTTCTAAATCATAATCTTCCTTAGGGAATGAATTTAGGATGCTACAAGAAGGATTACTGCCAGGTACATGCAGGGATGGCAGGCCTGTAATCCCAGCAACTCTGGAGGGCTGAAGCAAGAGGACAGAAAAATCAAGGCCAGCTTCAGCAACTCAGTGAGACTCTCTCTCAAAAAGAGTTGGGGATTTAGCTAAGTGGTAGAGCACCCCTGGGTTCAATTCCTAGTACCAAAACAAAACAAGAAAAAAAAAAGATTACCTAAGACATATTCTAAGGGATATTGTTCAGTAAACAGCCAACAAATATTATTCATTTTAAAAGATAAAATTGGAACTTATTAGTATTCAAAAACAAGTCTTCTTGGTTCAGTGAGTAATCTAACAATATATTAACAACTTATCTAAGCACCATACTAAGCCCTTTTGCATGAATTGTCTATTGAAGCCTCACAGTCCTGAGGTAGGTATATCCATTTTACCACCTAGGAACACATAAAAAAAGGCTAAATAACTGAACCAAGGTTGCTCAGCTTGAGATGATACCAGAATTTGAATCAATGCTATTATACTATTTATACATGTATACAAAGAAAACTATTTAAAGTAAAAATCAATTTATTTTCCATAATATATAAATCTATGAATATCAAGAAAGAACTCTAGAGTTCTCTAGAGTCATTAACTGAACAGAGTTACTAACTCTAATTAATACCAGTTAGTAGAGAAAACTAATAAACTTGGTGTCTTTTAAACAAACTTATGACAGTAACTAAAAGACATTCAGTTTCAACATCAAGTTTCCTAATCTAAATTCACTCTATAACACTTGCTAAATATGTTGTTTTTAAAATATCTACTCAAAGGCTTTTCAATAATGACATCATACAAAAAATTTTGGGGAACAAAATCAACAATTCCATAAACTAGAAAACAACAGTCAATATAGTCCCTATCTGTTAATGCCAAACCTGAAGTAAAGAAGAACAGTATTTCTTCAAATAGCAGTCCTTGCATTTATATTTAATTTTTACAATTAAACTTGACAATACCTGTAAAGGTCAATTTCTATTTCACAAATGGTATAAATTATAAGTTCAGACCTTCTGAGGAAAAAAATTAACAAAATGGGAAAATGAGATGTTAAAAATGGTTTTAATTCTATAAGAAAACCAGTCTTTACTTTTAAACAACGTGTAACTAGAAGAACACTACTAGATTATAAATTATTATAGTATAAAAATATACAATAAGCTAGACACGGTAGCACATGTATGTAGTAGTTCCAGTTATTCTGGAGGCTGAGGCAGGAGGATGGCTTATGCCCAGGAGTTAAGACCAGCTTGGGAAACAGCAAGACCCCACCTCAGAACAAAACAAAAATCTCCACATACACATAAAACAATTTTAACAAAAAAACAATACTTAGTAATTACCCCCTAAAAATTAAAAACAGTAACTTTGGAGCCTGACTCTATAATTTATTAGATGTGTGTGATGCTAGACAGGTTATTTAACCCAAGATTTGGACACAGTGGCCCATTCCAGTAATCCCAGCTACTCCATAGGCTGACACAGGAGGATCCCAAGTTCAAAGTCAGCCTGGACACATTAGAGAAATCCTTTTCAAAATACAATAAATAGAGATAGGAGGGTAGCTCAGCAGCACTTACTTAGCATGTGCAAGACCCTGGGTTCAATCCCCAGCATGTTTTTAACAAAAAAACACAACTATTACCAGGTTCCATATTTACAAAATGGGGATTTACCCTTATAGGATTTCTATGAAAAAAATGAAATTAATGTAAAGCAGAAAGAATGTTTCACATATATTTAAGCAATTGAAATATAGTACAGTTTGCACACCCCCAATGTGAAATTCAAAATACTATGAAATCCATTCATTCAGATTTCAGACTTTTGGACTGAGGATGCTCAACTTGGAAAGTTAATGCAAATATCCCAAAAATCACACTTCCAGTCCCAACATTTCAGACAAGGGATACTCAACCTGTAGTCACCTAACAAGAATTCTTATTTCATAACAAAACAACGTGTAACTAGAAAAACTCTGTAGTTCTCATTTAAAGAGAATCTTCTAATAGTTTTTGAAAGTAAAATAATTTAAGGTTCTTTACTTGCCTTTTTTTTTTTTTTTTTTGGAGGGGTGATGCTGGGGATTGAACCCAGGGCCCTGTGCATGCAAGGCAAGCACTCTACCAACTGAACTATATCCCCAGTCCTACTTGCCATATTTTTATCTTCACTCCACAAATTAAAAGTCTCTTCCCAAAATAACTGAAGCAAAGTGAACAAAAGGAAATGTCTTACCTTCTTTTCTGTCGCCATAACCATAGTAGAATTACTTCATAAATCCCATATTTATTAACTAGCACACAGCTATAAAATTATAAAATTTCTATGTGACAAATGAAACAATGTATAAAACTACAAATTTGTTCTATCCAGACATTATATTATTCTGTATTTCCTTAAGATGCTAAAGACTTGGACCTAATAACAGGTACCAACTGCAATTAAAAAAAAAAAAGCTTGTTAATAGCATCTGGTTGGTAGAGGTTTTCTTCAACTTTTCATCTTTATATAAGACTTATGAGAAGTCTTATATTTTTAGGTATATGTACATTCAGTTGTGCATTTGCTTACCAGAGGAAGGAACTAGAAAGTAAAAAGCATGTTCTTATGTATTTTTAAGTAAACCAATAGTATATTTAATCTAAAATGATTTACATTTACTAAAATGATTTACTTTTCATTCTTAGATATACAATCCTCAATAAACACTATTTTGAGCTGTTTTTAGATAGCAGTGAAGAACTTGCTACAACTTGGACAGTGGCTTTTATCTGTGTTATTTTTGCCTCTCCCCCTAATCTTTATTGTGCCTGGAACACAACATTACAAAGGATTGGAAAATGAATTATAGCTTCTAGGACAAATCACACCTCTAGACTCACTAACTAAATGAACTGCCAATCTATATATCAAATGCTATAAAAACAACTAGATGACATCCCCAGAACTTCATCTCTCTATAAACACAAATGCTCATCCTCAGGATAAAGACACATCATCACATCTGAAACAGAACGTTACATTCTGAGTTTGACCCAATAGAAAAGGATACCAGTAACTACTCAAAACTGATCAGAAGAGGTCCTATCTACTGAGACCATAAAATGGCAAATATTTCATTATTTCCAATAATATCAAAAGCACTATTGCCATAAAAACTCATACTGCTTAAAAATCTAGTTAATAATAAAATCCTATAGAGGTTCATGCTTGTAATTCCAACTACTTGGGAGGTTGAGGTAGGAGGTTTGCAACCTTGAAGCTAGCCTGGGCCAGAGAGAGAGAGAGAGAGAGAGAGAGAGAGAGAGAGAGAGAGACCGACCCTGTCTCAAAATAAAAATTTAAAAGGGGCAGGAAATATAGCTTACAGATAGGGCACTTGCTAACATCAGGAGGCCCTGGGTTCAAATAACAATACTGCCCTCCCACACACAAAAAATTGACTCTTAAAAAAAAATTTTAATGGTAAAGTCAATGTAGTAAGCAGAAAAGAAAAGTGAGCTCATAACACAGGCATAAGGAGGGAAAATTAAAATAATCCAAACAATTATCACAAACTTTGATATATGTGAAGAATAAAAAAACTGTTCATCCAACTGTCAAATAAGATATATACAAAATATACTAAGAATAAATGGCAGCCATTAATGAAATAATATAAAAGGAAATACCATGAGATGTCTGGGAAATCTGAGGTCCAAGAAAGAATAAATGTCTTCACAAAACCTGCTATCCAGAATAGACCTAGAAACCAAGTGAACATAGGAGCATTGAGCTATTTTTAAGTGGCACAGAATTCTAGGTACTTCTGATTAACATGGTACCTAAAACCAAAGGGACTCACACAAAAATAGCAGCAAATTCCTAAAGTGATATATTTAATCTTCAACTCTTTACACAAATGAACATAAACACAACAGAGGCAACAATTAAGTTAAATACCAAATCAAACTGAAGATACTGGAAAAATACAATATTAAAAAGACTTAACAAGCCAATGATAAAAATAATAAAAACAAAAGGTAAAAAAAGCAATTAAAGATGGAAAAAGCAATTTCAGACAGAAAACAGTCTATCTGAAAAGCTAAAGACTGAAGCTGCTTTTAAGACCATGCTAAAAAAGAAAACTGAAAAGATCACCCGAAGGACAAAAAGAATGAAAATGGGAGGAAAATTTTTTTCCTAAAATTACAATAAAATGCCTAATCTAACAATCTCTTTGAGGAAAGGGTCATCCATTATCTTTCTTTTCTTTATAAGACCTCACACCATGTTCAATAAATATTGACTAATTAATATTTATTGGATGTATGCCACTAAGAGGTGAATTTTTGGCCTAATTACTAATTGAAATTAACAAACTAGAAAAGAAATGGTGAGGGACCATGTATCTAAGATTTCCTATAATCAGAAATTAAATTTGGTCATCAATTTAATATTTTATTATTTATAGTAGCTAATACATAATAAAAAATGCTCAATCAAGATCCACTCCCACCCCCCCCAAAAAAAAACGGATCCATTCCAAGTTAATACCTATGAAACCTTAGGCAAGTCCTTTCAGTGCTCTTTGTTTCAAGTAAATATGGAGGTTGGTTGTATCGATGATCTTATAGTTTACATCTTATAATCACAAAT